TTTCTTAAATATTTACGTGGGGTCTCTCAGGTTTTATGAAACAAACATGTTCATTTTGTTCATATCGGTTTACGTACACCCTTACAAGCATATCTTGCGAACACCACTGTATTCATCATGATATTTCCCGGGTTCAGAAACAAGCAGAAAGGACGCGGAGAAGAGGCAGCCTACACGTAAGGTCATAGGTCGGTAATTCAAGCTCGAGGTTAATGGAGAATAAAGGCCGCAAAACGTTTGTTTTGTTGGCCGAGTTCGGGCACCGATTGCTACGAACCAATCAAAAATTGAGCGTTGCGATGGAGCAGATTTTCGTAATCAATCTAATCAATTCTGATTATTTGGATTGGGATTTGTTAAAATGAGCGTAGGAAATTTTCCCAATAGTTGAATCTTTGCAGGGGCGATCCCTTAAAATTTCAAGCCGGAAAAACTGTGTGGATAAATTCAATCGCGTATAACACGGGCAGCCAAGCTAAGAATTTACAGAACAGCCATGCAACCAAAGGACAGGGCACTTGCCTTCCACGCGAAAAGCCCGGGGTCGAATCTCGGCTGAGGACTAATTAAATAAAATCTTTTTTTCCATGTTTATTTTATTTTAAAAATCAGTAAAATTCATAAATTATTTTAAAATTTGTTATTTTGTCCTAATAACCTAAAATGTTCTTTTAAATTTGTAGGATTTCGTTAGTGGATCGTAGAAAAAAATATACTGTACGACAGTATTACTCTGTATATTATTTGCCTTCCATTTGAGTTCAACAGTTTTTTGTATACTACAGAAATTTCCAAATTTAAGCTGTTCCGATAACAGAAACATATTTAAAAGCTAATAAATCATAAATAATATCATATATCTTAAAGTTTCTGTCCAAAACTATGAACCATTTATTTATAATGTGTTGGCTATGGCTATTAAAATGACCAATTACCACACTACTAATGAACAAATGGAGTTGTACTCGTATTATAGAGTTTCAACATTACCTACAGCGTTGACTGTAATGATAAATTATATTGTGGCCTTCTGAACTTTCCTTCATTATTCAACCACTAATAAGACCACCTTGAATTATTTGTTAACCGAGAAAATCAACACCGTTCTCGCTTCGGCTTGGAACATCTATAACTAAATAAGACGCCTGCCTGCCTGCATAAACGTATTCTGTATAATATTATATTTCCGAAATAAGCGTACATTAGTACGCAATTGCTTTACAACACGCATTACCTACTATATTTTACCTACGGCTACTTACATTGGTAAGCCTGAAATGCTTGTATAATATATTCTGTGCTTATGGTTTATTATGTGTTTAGTTTACCGTGTGATTTATTTAATATTTATAATGAGCTATTTACTGCGCCATGTTTGTCGTGTGTTTTGTCTGATTTCCATAGTGCTCGTAGGTAAAATATTTTATACAAGTTTACATTTCAGCGAGAATTAAAAGGAAAATCAATAAATCACAATAATGTAGAATGTTTGTTACCTATCTCCAAATCCGAGTATTAGTCGCGAGGAAGGCAACGACCGCATTATAACATAAAATAATTACCTCTAAGGTTATATTCTCCTCCAGATATTAAATTGTGACAATTCATATTCGCGATGTTTATATATTCCCAGGCCATAAGCCAAGAGTTGACATATCAATAAACCTGGGCTCTCTGGCCACGAACTTCCAAGTACAGTTCATCAAATTTCTAGAGGTGTTCGACGCCCAGACAGAGAACGCCCTACGTGTGACTAAGATAGCTATTGTACAGTCTGCTAAACAAGTTATTTTAAATAGTTTTTAATATTTTTAGGTAATTAAATTTTAAAAGTGTGGAATAGTTTAGGGATTAAATTGGTCTGATTGGACTTTCTTAGAACGTTTTTAAAAGCAGCTAAAGATAGTATGTAGAATTGAAAATAATTATTATGCCATAAAAGGTGTTTTGGAATTCCTTCAATCTTTTGAAATTGAGTCAGAAAATATAAATTTTATAGGATAGCGGAAAATACCTATAATTTTTTTGTAGGCCTTTGTAAATCGTGGAAATAGTTTATATTTTATTTCTACCTTATTAAGGAAAATGGTACCTATTATTAATAACGGTTGTTTCTGAAACATTACTAAAATTTTCGAAATTTTGTTTTTCTACAAAATAATAAACTATACTATTTAGAAAAAAATTTATTTCTCTTATAATTTTATAAAAAATAACAGGGGAATATTTACATTTCTTGATCTATTAAACAAAACGATAAATTATCTCGACGAATGACACCATGTTCTAGTACGGAAGCTAGCTTTACATTTTTGTTGGTGGTTTCATGGGTTTCATATCAATTTTTTGTAATTGTAGTTTACACGTACATATACCTCTTAACACTTGTTTGCTTTATTAAAAAAGTGTGTTGTTGTGATTTACGTCGAAATAAGTCAAAAACAACTTGAAACCCCATATAAAATCATAAAGGAGAAACGGAAAAAAATTGAGCCTGTAAATGAACACAACTCAGAAACAAATATAGCTATCTAATAATAAAAAAATAAAATTTGATTCTTGTGCAGCTTCATCTATATCATTAACTGTTTTTGGTTTTTTAATGGTTTTTCTTGGTGATGAAAATTCCGATATCTCACGGTTATCGATTCTTTTTTTCTCTCCAGAAATGCGGACGACAGTATTTTTAGATACTCCTGTGGCTGCAGCAACACGATCATTTACATTTTTAAATGGTATTGAAGGTGAATTAAAGTTTCCTTCTCTTCTCATAAACTCTATAACATTGGCTATTATTTCGCGAGATTGACTGTTAATCACGCGGCCTCTTAATTTGCTATTAAACTCCATACTTAGGTTCTATTAAACTGTAATGAGCAAAAAACACAAACGAAAATAAAAGAAATGTTTTAGCGAAATTTACATCTGACATTTACGTCTGAATGAAATAGTGAAATACTTGATGCACAGAGTGTACTTTCATTGCGGAAATCCGTCGGGATGCCTGTCAGTAGTGCTTTCTCTGTCTAGCCGTCGAAAGCCTCTAGAAATTTGATGAACTGTAGAAATGATCGCTATATCGAGTGAGTTGAATAATTTTCTACCCGCTAACAAGTCTATAAAAATCTTTTCGGATAGTCAGGCAGCCCTCCAGGCTCTGAGCTCCAATCGAGTTGACTCGAAGCTGTTTTGGAACTGTATAAATACCGTGAGAAAATAAAACAACTCCAAATCAATCCCATATAGGCGACCGGTTTCGGCTATAAATTAAGCCATTTTCAAGCCTATAACAAAATTTAACAATAGTTAACAAAGTTAGTAAAAATTAAACCTAGACATACATACCTAAGATCTTAAGACAAATTACAAATAAAATTTAATAAAACATTCGTAGATGCACTTATGTCTACTATACAGGGTGTTCCATCTCAGACGAGCCACCCCGTATATTTCTTATCCCATAGTAATTGGAAAAAATTCCCGAAACACGTCGGATGATTTTCTTTGGGGGCATCTTTTGACGTATATTTGAGGCTTGAACGAGCAACCCCCTATGAGAGGACGCTTCAACCCCTCAAAACTGAATAGGGAAGAGGGGTTGAGTGATACTTCATTTGTAAGGTTTTGGACGCCTCTTTACAACGATTTATGAAAAAAATCACATTCTTAAAAAAATTTAATTGTTTTATCACATTAAATGATAGAAGAAACGTGATAAACACCTTCTAAGAACAAAAAATGAAGGCAGGATAAGAAAATGTTTTGATTTTTTTTTTATTTATTAGTTCGAGAGAATCTATTATTGTATGGAAGTTAATGGAGGACAATTTGAGAAACACTTGTAACAACCGGGAAACCTAAAGACCACCACTTGTCACTAAATGTCACCAAATGTAACAACCAACTGTCTAAAAACCATTTGTACTACTGATAGGTCTTTAGCTACTGTTGTTAATATACTATTAAGGGATTAGGGCAGCACCGTCACCAGCCAAAGGGTCTTGGAGTCCTGAAGGAACATCCATTCACCAGTGGCAAATAAAAATAATAAAAAAATTAAATTAAGAGAACAAAAATTATCCCTTAATAGCATAGTCGAGCGGTTCTTGGCAATTAGTTTTGGACTATTTTAGTCCTAAGGGAATAGAAACGCCGAGGCTTCTCAAATGCTCGGAATATTTTACTGGTTTGAAAAGGGGAGAGATTAATAATAAGTATTAAAACATTAACAAATGTATATTTACAATAAGTACAAAATTTGACTAATAGTCTTAAAAAAGAATGAATAAAATTACATTTAGGGAATAAAGCACTACTTATTAATAGATACAAACTTTAAATAAAGATTTTAAGATAACGATCAACATTTTATTGAATAATAAGTTTGGACATATTAACAATTATAAATAGCACTAAAAAACTTTAACTACATAATAATATTAAAAAATGTATAAGATAAATATGATCATTCGGGACGAAAATGTAAAATTGGCATTTATATGTAAATCAATTATTTATTATCAAACACTTTAAAAATAAGTTAAAGATATTTACCCATAATTCACAAATAGCTGCACAAAACTTTACTCTGCACATTACTTTCTTTTGGGCTTAAAGAGTCCCAAAAAACGAGAGCTTTCGCTCTCTGCGAAAGTTCTGGACCTTAGTTCGCAATCGATTGAGAGTCTTGTCTTTTTGTCTCCACTCTATATATACCAAAATTTACGTGATGGTTGTATTTTTGGTAATTCTTTTTTATTTTCAAATAATAATAATGCCAATTGTTACACACTGATATAGAGTATTCCAGTTTATATCTAACCAAACTGAAATACAAAGCTGAAAGTGCAGATATAATCTTAAAATTCCTACAATTTCTTATACACGATATCTTTGGTTTACAGTATCATTAGTATCAAAGAGTTACACTCTGGTCTTCTCTATTGCCTAAATATTGTTGTTTTTTTTTTAAATAATGATAAATATTTTTTTTGTTACAGATGAATGTGGCCAAAGCGGAGGCGAGGCCGATAGTGACGAGGACGTCATCACCGACTACCATATCCCGGTGTTGGACATGTTGCCGCGACCCGGTCTCGGCGGGCCGCTTCCTACCATCAGCGTGACGCCTCATTCGCCGGCGAACAAGACTTATCCCGTGCTCGAGGACAGCTTGCAACAAGTGCGAGAACTCCACGAAAGCGTGCAACACATGCGAAATGTCTCCGCTCAGAGTAAGTCATTAATGTCACTATTAAAACCTCTTTTTTGCTCGTCTCGCAATCAAGCAACAGTTGGAACACTGGACGGATTTTTGAATCATATTCACACTTTTATTTTGCTGAAGCTTTCATTAAAAATGTTTGTGAAAATTAAAAGAATGAATATGGTTGTAACTGAAACAAGAATAAGTTTGCAAAATAAAGAATGAAAAAGGTTTTTTCTTGAAGGTCGTGATTCACTGAGCTTAGTTTAGTTATAGTGATGTAATACACAATCTAACATTTTCTTTATTCCTATCAGGGTCTAAGTCAAAAACTATAAATGATACTACTAAATTACCCAAGGCGCAAAGCGATGACTTACCGGAATGAAAGCATACTATTTACCCAGGAAAGGAACATGTATATGCTGTGGCCTGTGGCGTGCTTAACCATAGCACTTAAGGTTACCACCCATTATACATGCAACTGATTGAGAGTGTTTGTTGTACAGATTTTATTGGATAATCTCTTAAGTTCCTACCGTACCAATGCTTAGAAGCTGAAAATAATTAAATATTGTCTATATACGATTAAATAACTGCATTCATAAGCCAATCGAATAAAACGAATACGTATTATATTGCTTACGAAAGCTGTTAACAATTTAATTAAATTAAATATTTCAGAAGCTCGTCCTGGTTTGAAACGCTGAACTAAATAGATAAACCTAAATAGTCGATCTGAAAGTAGTGACACTTTCACATACTAAATTTAAAATACAGGGTGATCTGATGGACAAGCATGGGCGTATGCAGAAATTTGTCCGGGAGCGTCAGGTCAATATTATTTAAGTATAATATATATACACTAATTTTTATAGAATAGACAGAGAGCTTGAAGAGAAAAACACCAATATAGAAGTAAGCACAATAATTCAAACAAAATGTTATATGAGTACGAAGGTTTTAAAGAAAAGTCCTTTATTTCTCACAAAGTCAATTTATTGGCCACCGGTTTCGAAGTAATTACTTCATCATCAGGCACACCTAAATCGAAAGTCATGGAGCCAATATATTGAAAAGTAAAAAACTATTTATAGAATATTAAAAATTTAACAGAAATTATGAAAATTTTCAAAAAAAAAATAAGGGGGAAATTAGTAATAATTTGACGAACCATGACATATCCATTAAGGATAAGCTACGTAATTTTACCATATGTGAATATATATTAAAAATAATTTCAGGACAAAATGAAGTGAATTCAATCTTTAAGTTTTTATGAGGAGATAACAAGATGAATAACAATAACAACACCACCTATCAAATAGGTCACCAACTAAGGTAGGTAACTGTAATCTAATATAGGGAATTTACCTAAAATTTTCTGAAAACAAATATAGAAGAAATCTAATATTTAAAGGTAATGTATGTTAATGTATTTTTAAGAATAAGGCGCATATATAGAGGAGTGAGATTATACTCATTTTTAAGCACCTATCTCTCCTTTGAATAGCTTCAAGAATTTAAAGTATCATTGGAGGACATTATAAAGAAGTCACTAATAGAACATAATTACACATGGTATCAAATATCCTTTGTTGATGTTTTTCTAATATATCGTACGAGGAATTTTATGAAGTCCCATAAAACAAGGAAATAGAAACAAAACAAAAAATACGTCTAGCAAATTCTATTTTCAAATGATCTGGATCTGTAAGCAATTTAGACGCATTTAAACATAACTTATATGGTCAATAAGAATCAGGTATGGGACCTAAAGACTTTCTCAGTATTTATATAGAAACAAAACAAAAAATACCTACGATACATCTTTAAAATTCATTAGTCATAACTCATATACCCAATAAGAATCAGACATGGAATCTAGTCATTCCTAGTATCGTATACAGAAATTTCCTTTTTATGAACCCATAATGGTTTTTTTACTGGTACGTTTTTTATGAGATAATTTTCATTTAACTGAAATATTTGTGCTCCCTACTCTTTAGAACCACGTGCGGTATCTTCCATTAAAGAATGATATAAGTTATAGTATATCGCGTAAACGAGTGAAATTTAACGGTTTAGTAATTTTGTGTCTTTCTTTACGACCAATAAAAGTAATATGAGTAATTTTCGTCACTAGCCAATAAAAAGTTGGAATGTTGTATGTGTTATGTTATCTTTTAAGTTCTATAAAATACTATGAGATAGAAAGGTGTGCTTCTTATATTTAAATGATAATTACCCGGAATAGGAATAATATTTTAAATATATATGCATTCTTACTACTGTGTGATTGACGACTAGAACTACGAAACGAAACTAGTAGCTATAAAGTAATTAGACACCAATGATTGACAAGTCACTTTGGGTGGTCTGGCTAGTGGTGGGATGATAAAGAACAGTTCGCACGTGCATAGATAGCAGATATTTATTTTGTGTTGGTAGCTGTAGCTCCCCAAACTTATACAACGTTGGTAGATTAGACAGAAAAATACTTCCTTCCCTTCCTTAGATGACATGATTATACCAAGCCATGTCTTGAAAAATGGTGACACAGACTATTCTAAAAGAATTATCATTAGACAATCTGATTGCTCATGAGCACATCATAATGCTTGTTGTGCTTCTCTCATGAGAATTATATTATGAAGACGTTGAGATATATGTTTTGGGATCCGCAATTAGTGATAATCTTACATAGACATTAAGAAAAGATCTTGTGTCGAATACATTGAAAGATATTGGTTTTGTCGATTGAATGCTAACATGCTATAATTAATAGGCTGATTATACAATAGGCATATTGTTAAGGCAAAAGTTTAGCATTAAGGTACTCCTGCAAATAAGAAATAGGTTAGAAAACATAGTACATTACTTTCTACTTCAAGACAAGATACTCGTACTTCAATCTTCAGTGAGTATTTTTAAATGTTGATATAATAAAATTATTTCATTTCTGGTTAATTTTATTCCTAATCAACATTTTTAATTGTCTTATACGAACAGTATAAGTAAGGACAATTTTACAACTTTCAAAGTTCGCTAGAGATATGAAATTACCACTCTAACTTTTGAACTTCTATCAGTTCCTAATTAAATCTTGCTATGAAGTGAAGTGGTAATGGAAAAGAGTTGTTAAGTGAAATCTTTTACAAATTTAGTGTCGATTTAGAAATTCCATGTAGGAGCCTTACATGGTTTTATTATTAGATGCATAAAAACAATGAATTTATATAAAGGTCAGGGTTAGGCACCAAAAGACAAGATTAAATATTTAGAAGGAAAAATTAAAAAAGAAATTGTCTGAATATTTCTGACATTATTTATTTGTAGTAACGTACGTTTTATCTATGAATATCATATCTCCCCACACTGGCTCAGCTACAGGGGTTAACTTTTTACTAAGATGAATGGTAGATAAAACAGCATTTATTTCTGATGTTGAAGTGACTTAACTGCTACGATCGTTGATATCTTTATTTTTAAGTCGTCGCTTCTCTTTTTTTATTCATATTGTTAACTTACATTCACACATTAACATAAAATCAATTTATAATTGCTTAACGTATCAAAACTTATTCTTAAAAAAAAATTATGAATTCTTTAAACTTGCTTTCAAATTTAATTTAAAAAAAAAATCATAATAATTTCCTAAGGCTGGCAAACATCCTGACCGCTTGTAACGATGTTCCCCAGTAACACCGTTCTAGGGACGCCTATGGTTCAGCATGCAGCCGTTTTTGCCAAGCAGAGACAAGAATATAAAGAATATAATTCTCGTCAGTTGAACTAAGGTATTGACTTAGCAAGACTCTTCTCTCCTGTTCCTGCAGAGGTATTGACTCTGTAGGCTTCCCGACGTCCCGACCATTACCTGCAAAGGTATTGACTTTGTAGGTTTTCCTTCCCCGTGAATCTCTCCCACGAAGGTACTGACTTCGAGGGACTTTCATCATCGTAAAGGTAACCTAAGCTCTTGTCTCATCTTCGTCACACCATCCTGGACCACTAAGCCACGCCGAACCGACGTACGAAATATACTTTGGGGAACAACATTTGAAGACACGAACAATTTAAATTTAGTCAGTATCTTTTCATGTACATATTGTAAATATTGTTATCTGTATAAAAATTGTTTGAATAAAGTTTTTATTTCCAAAGAACTCTGTCTACGACTGTCTAAAAACAAACCACAGGAGGAGTTACAGATGGCGCCCGAGCAAAACTTGCGCCTGATCCATCATTATCTAAATTCTAAATGTTGGCCGGCCGCGTAAAAAGTGCGCCCTAATCTGTACTAAAACAGCCGACTGCAAGGCGTATCCGTTAACGCGTGTCCGACTCCGTACTAAAATAGCCGACTACAAGACGTATACGTTAGCACGTATCCCACTCCGTTTTCATAGTGACGCGGGCCTCTACATTGTTGCGGCCGACGATAGTCCAGTCAAAGAGGTCATAAATTGTTATTATAGGAAGGATTTGGAGGAGACATAATAAATAACACACATGACATGTGTCGAAACGATAGGAAAAATTATAAAATTAACAAATAATATTTTTAATTAGGATTTTATTCTCTGGTATTTTTGAGGAGGGACGCGCGGTCATGCGGCCTTAAAAATTAACCACTCCTGCTTGTTTTTGTTTTCAGAAAGGCATAATGAAAAATATAGTTCATTACACGTCCATAAATGCGTTTCCCGTGCTTGCGTGACTTCCCTAGTGTAGAAAGTATGCATGATTCAACCTTACACTCTTAGGCCTTCTGCACACGGAGTTTCTCGTCATCGGCTCGTATTAGATGCGACATACTAGAGGTGTACGCTTTTGTGCTGCTCCCTTGGGTTTCAATTAGCAACTGTACACGGGACGTCAGCGCCGCGGATTCGTCAAAGCATACAAGCTGCAATACGCCGGGCGTACAAAGTGTAAGCAAAGCTTGCAGTAGATACAGCCAGAAAAATAATGTTGGATGACTTTTAGAATAGTTTATTAATCAATTGACATCTATATTTACAT